CTGTATAGTTTCATAAGTGCATATGGATTTTTCCATCACTCTGCTTCATTTTCACTTCCGAAATTATCATAGTTACCCCCAATAATTTTAATATCCAGTTTCCGTTCTACTGCCTCCTCCATGGTTTTTTCTTATAATATTCTTGATGGCTTATTGTTATGAGTACATCATCTAAGTGTATTTCGCAGTATGGAAATCTATATTTTCCATTTTGAAATATAAATATGGATCTTCCTTTGACTGGTGCAACTCTTCCATGACTAACACACCAGTAAGTTATTGTTCGTTCCAACACTTTCTCACCTGATTCTTTTTCTGGCATGTATGTTCTGCATATATTATTTGGTGCATATCCTAAAAATATTCCTTTGTAAGTTTTTGGTTTAAATTTGTATACTAAACTTTACTTAATCCATAGACAATGCTAACAAATCTTTTCATATACCTTATGTTTGGCTTTCTCTCCTGCTAAACTTCATAAGGAGTTCTTTGATGGTCATCTAATTTTGTTCAATTCATTATATGGATAGCTGTATACCCTGCTTCTGTCCAAAAATACATTGGCAAATCTGAATCCATCCATCTTGTTATCTCTCTGATGGATCTGTTCTACCTCTCCACAATATTATTGTACTGCAGTGTCCTGGCTGGAATCAAATTATGTTTCTTTTCTTTTTGATTTAACCAAACCTGGAGGTCTTGTCCCACACACTCACCTCCATTGTCTGAGCATATAAGAAGTTTTCAACTTCTTGACTGATTGATTCTCTTTCCATGTCGCCAATCTTGTTATTTTCTTAGCTGTCCAACCTTTTTCCTACAAGAACAAGACAATAATAACTCTCGAATAAACATCAATAGTTAAGATGCATTCTTTACCTCCTTTTGACAATGATTTTATTGGTTCAATCAAGTCCATACATCACAGCCCCATTATTTCTGTTGCTTTTGTAGTTTCCAAATTCCTATGCATGTTTCTACAAATTTTTACCTTAAAGCTACATTCACACTCTATATTCACTTTATCTTTGCTTTTAATAACTATTACCAATTGTTTGTACTCCATCTCTTCATTGATTCTAATATTTGCAAGACCCAATCATCAATGTCATACATCTTTCTGTGTTGATACATATCCTGCTGCTTTTCTGTTTCTTGATTCTATATAATATGTATTTCCTCTTCTCGCTGCTTTCATTTAAATTTCTCCCTTTTCTTTATATAATTCAGCCCCATCTTTCTGAAACTTAATAGGTTAGCGATGATCAGTGACTTTGACCACTGATATCAATATTTATTTAGAACTGGAACAAAATATACCTATCAATCTCACTGCATTCGCCAAATCTTGCTGTTATTAAAGAACATCCCCTAAATTAATTTTATTTCCTTTTGTCTGCCAACACCATCTCCATTTTCTAAATCTTCATTTCGCCATCAAATATTTCTTTCTTGTATGTCATATGGCTAGTCAACCTGAAATTCAATAGACATATCATACCATACATACTTGTATTACTGCTTCAATATTTTCTTCCCATAAAAGATAATCATTGGTATTTAATGGCTCTACGCTGGTGATATTGCATGAGTCCAATATTTTTCTCCTGTTGCATGTGCCCCTTTACTTCAACAGAATAATGTCATTTAACAACTAGGCTCTGCTATCACTAATAAACGGTATAAAAACAATGGTTTATTTCTTACACTATTTAATTACAACTAAAGGTTATGTTAATACAAACACTTACATTCTTTTACGTGATGCAGGCGCAGCTCCATGCACACAACAATGCATTCCGCGTTTCTTTGCAATCTTTTCCTTCTTTCGCATGCACTCTTCCGCTCACTCGAAGAAAAATTAACAAATTACTGAATTTCTGTAATTAAGTTATGAACTTTTATAATTGCGTTGAAAAGACGTACCTTTGCAAACTTGTGTCAGGTGAAGAAACGAATGCTGATTGTCCAATTAAAACCCCTGTTTCGGTTGAACTTGTTAAAGAACGTAGAAAACTTTATGGGATTCTTAAGTGAATAAAAAGAACGGAAGAGAATGTGCATTAGTTATTTATGTCGCTTTACTGTTTTCTTTATCCCGTCCTACACGTAATGTGGTTTTAAACGCACTCCTGGCACCATCTGTGCTCATCTTACCGAATCTGAGGTTCGAGTCGAATAACTCATAGATGGCACTAATTTCATTTTAACAGATTACTAACTCTGGTTATGTGCTCCAGACACTTTCTAGTTCGGCAGTGGAAAATTAACAAACTACTCAATTTCTGCGAATAATTTATGAACTTTTATAATCGCATCGTAAAGGCAGATCCCTCGCGAACTTTCTCATATAACTTTCGATAATAATTTCTTCTTAATCAATTGATTAAAAATAATTATTGCATGGCGTGTTTGAAATGTTGCCGTATATATCAATGGTTTCTTATTAATAACTATTTTTCATGCAATTAATTTATGACTTTTATGCATTCATTATAAAAACAACGTTTTTGCGCATCTTCTCATATAACTTTTGATCATATTTTTCTTCTAGTTTTGAACATAATTAAATATTTTTCTAAATAATTATTCTCGGCGTTGTTTTCAAATTACCCGCGCCATCAAACATTATTAATGACACACTAATTAGAAACAAATTATGTACAAAAGTAACATAGGAATGTTGCTCAGAGTTTCAGCTTTGCGATAAGTCTATAAAAGTTCATAAATTAATCACAGAAGTTGAGTAATTTGTTAATTTTCACTGTCGAGTCCATTCTGTCCTCTTCTAACCGCCTTCTGTCCTTGTCTACCACGTGACGAGGTTAGACGACCTCCTTACTTATTCTATGTTCCTATTACTTTTCTGATCATCTAGTCCAAATTCATAGATGGCGTTGATCGAAGTCGCAGTATTAAAAACCACGTGACGCGTTGGGCGGGAGAAACAGAACAATAAAACGATACAAATAAGCATAACACATAATCCTTTAATCTTTTCATTCTCTTAACATCCTTATACTAAAACTATACTTGTATAGTTTTTTTATATTCTTTAACAAATTTGGGACACTCAGTGGTTCAGTTAGATAATCAACATTCGTTTCTTTATAATATATAACAACATTTTTCTACGCAAATGCTTAGATTTAATTTTCTACATTTATCACATTCAATCTGTCACATCACAATCTTTCTCATCTTCTTTTTCAATCTGATTTCACATATCAGTCCATATATTCACATAAAACATTTCATTGGTGTCTCTTCCTTTCCCAAATTCAAGACAATACTCATCCTCAAATATTTTAATGTCCCCTTCAACTCACGATTAAGCTGTGACAAACATCCTACTGCAAATGAGATGTCTGGCTTTAACAATTGGATCCAACAATTTCTAATTCATCATTTTTCTTAATTTTTTCTCGTCTTTATCCTTCAATGGCTGAGTTCTATTCATTGTTTCATTGAATTTCATATCACATTCATTTTTGACCTTGTCCTTTTCTGGCAAGTATATTCTGTATGTATTCTTTGGTTCATATCTTAAAAATGTTTCTTTGTAAGTTTTTGATTCAAATTTTTGTACTAGACCCACTTCATTCAGGGCATAAGTAATGCTGCCAAATCTTTTCATATAGCCTATGTTTGACTTTCTCTTATACTAAACCTCATAAGGAGTTCTTTTTTATTGACTAACTATTAAAGTGCAAGCACTCTAAGTAGTAATCACTAAAAATTCATTAAATAAAAGGCTATAGATAAAACTTCAATAAAACTTTTTTTGCTATTTCAAATTTCAATACAATACACGTACAATAATAAAATAAGTATTCTCGTATGCAAATTATCGTAGGCATTTTCGATCGTCATACTCTATGCCATTTCACAACTATTATTTTTCGTTCATCGTCCAAAGAACACAGTCGTGTAAATATCATTTTTTCTGTTTTTCGTTTATTAAATAGCAAACATGAGATACCCTCGAAAGTTCAATTGTTCACTCGATATGCCTCCAGACATCTATCCATAAACTGACTTGCACCCCTGCGTACCAGTATTGCAATACGCATGGATCGTTTTATGGATACTTGAGCTAGAGCCCATTTCTTTGAAAGGATCATTGCATAGAGAATCGAATAGCATATTGCTACCGAAATTATAGTATGTATCGACTAATAAAATAAAGGCATTAGTTCGAAGAAATGGAACGGTATTTTAATCTTTAACTTTTCCTTATTCAAAAATAAAAGATTGCTAAAAATTTGGGACATTTCAAATTCGTAGAACTTATTCGTCTTGTTTGATATCTAGGTACTTCATAACATTGTTTTATAATATACGAACTTTTTTCATTTTCAGCGGTATCACTGCCAATTTCTTATTTTATTTATTAAATATGCTTTTCATCGTTAAAACTAATTAAAATCCACTGGTTACGCGTGTGACGATCAATTATATGAAATTTAAATTGGCTTTGATATAGCTGAAATAATGAATGAAAAATGATTATTTTATAGCACAAAGAGCTGTAGCTAATCAATGATTTATGAATTTCCAATTTTCTTGAAAAAAATAATTTTCTTTTTATTTCCAACCATTTCAAGTTTCATAATTCATAACTATTTATATACAATTTTCTTACAAATATTTTCCAACTTTACAAAGTTCTAACTATCTTGCCGAGCAATCCAAAAAATCCTTATTTTTACTTTGTTCACTTCCTCTTATTCAGCAACTACTGTTGCGGTCAGGTATGTACGGCTTTAGATGTGCTTCGATTCACCAATGCCAACAGCACTTGATGTTCTTAAATTGTCGTCCATTTAAGTACAAACTGCGCCCAACGCAACCTTAATTCGACGAAATTCGAAGACATTGGCAAGATCGTTACCCTGTTCATTCATACAAATACTCTATTCCACGTGAATGGAAGGAAGTAAACAAGTTGGACAATACGACGTTTAACAATGATCTTAGAAATTAAGTTATAAGCCATTATGAGCATTTTAGACAGGAGTAAGTGTTTTAGAATAAAATTTGAGCTTTCGTCAAATATGAAAATTTGTGTTTGCAACCAGTGCTGATTATAATCAGCATTATAATAATAATTATTATGTAAGAGAGTATATGTGTATATAGGAATTATAAAAAAAATATAGAAATTTATCAGTATATTAGAGATCTTATTACAGAAAATTATTTACTCAAAATAGCAAATTACATTGCACCTAAGTACTTTATACTCTAAATTGTACATATTTAAATTTCTTATTTTATATTAGCAAATCACACTATAGTTACTCTATAATCCAAACTCTATAGCTAAAAAAACGCAAATTTTTAAATTTCAGTTTAATAAATCGAATCGAATCAAATCGAGTATATTTTCCATAACTCCATTACCTTTCGATGCATCGTATTTTTTCAATTTTTCCTCCACTCTTTTTCCTCTTTTTTATATAATTAATCCAAAATAATTTATTCCTTTTGCCTCTTTCTCGATTCGTTACAGCACTGCTAATACACACAGATTTATCATGCCACTGGCTTCCGATTTACGCCAGACGAACTCGAGTTTACGTGTACCATTACCACGATTATCGAGTGCAATCCGACATCATTAATCGAAATTGGGGCCACGGTAACGAAGACGATTTATTCGTTAGATCCATCGTCGCGCTAACGATCGATTTCTTGAATCGGAACTCGGCGAACGCGTTCTATCGCAATAAATGTAAATATTTTCGAAAAATATGACAAAGTTACCGGATTACTTGCGATCGTTAAAGACAGAGGCACTGGATGGGAAAAATAAAAATGGAAAAATACGAAAATTCGAATTTTGCGTGGTGAGAAGAATCGTTCATTTTATTGCGAAGATCGATATCTATTTTAAACGAAATTTTCAACGACAATATTTGTGTTTCGTTTTTATACGATTTCAACGAATGTGTTTTATGAGTTATGTATAGTTCGTATTGCCACGCAGATGGACAAGAATAAATATTTTTTGTTTATTTATGGCGAGTACGGAGAGGTGCTCGAAATGTTCTTTTTGAACGTTTGATTGTTTTGGATGAATTAGTTTTGGATCTTTTTGACTGATAATCGAGATTTTATAGCAAGATTTAAAATCTGCATTTAATAAGTAATTATACATTTTTGGGAATATCGATGGCATACTGAAAATTAGATCAAGTTCAAATTAATTGAATCTATTTTAATTGGAAGAAAATCGAAGGTTTGAAGTTAAAATTAAGCCAATTAAAAATAAGTGGTAGAATAATATTAAACAAAGTTCAAAAGTTCAGAGTTAAAAATAGAAATTAGGTTAAATTATATTTATTTTTGAGTCCACATTCACTTGAGAAAGTATATTAATTATTTGCGAATTATTTTGTGTTTTGTATCTTCTTGTTGTTAGATACATAATACCAGAATTAAAAATAATAATTTCTTTTTCAAATAACTTTTATAATGGCTATTCTTTATTTTAATCTGTGTTCCTCGGAAGATAAAAAACATACAAAAATACCCAAATGGTTTCTTAACTTCTAATTTCTCTTTTAATTTCTTAACTTTTGTCAACGGGTGCATATATTCTTAAAATTGAAAATTCTAAGTATTCTATAGTTTTAATCAATTTTTGAGTCTTTGCGCTTTTACGATGGATAAAGAAACTTGAAGACGCAATAAATATCTTTCCAATTTTTTTCCCCTATTATAAAATATCACTTTGTGAAAGAAATAAAAGAGAATCTCCGAGGAGCAGTAGGAAGTTTCGCGTTTCCTATTTATCACAAAAAGGTATTCCACCGGGCTATAAAGTAGTAAAAAGTGTTCCGTTGCTTATTAATAGCAGTTTCAAAAGAAATGCTCTTTAAATATTTCAACGTGATTCATATAACCCATGTCACGATCAACGCTATCCTCTTGTACTGTTTTGTGCAGAAATATTCAAAGCACGTATAATTTGAATTTTAACTATATTTTAAATAAACTTACAGCGAATACGAACGATTCCATTGCATTATGCTAGAATATATTTCTTCGAGTTACAACCTCCTTTCGTGATGGTGATATCATGATCTCTGATATATTTAAGAAAGATATATTTAGTATGGTTCTAATTATATCTAGTTCTTAAAGTATTCGTTGTGGTAGACTGTAAATTACATCCTCTAATTTTTCAGTTACAGTTAAATTAAAATTAAATTAAAATAAAATAAAACGGAATAAATAAACTGATAGGTAAATAAACAAACATTTTTCTGACATATTTAATTAGTTATTTGCTTTTCTTTTTAATTGTTTTTTTACTGTTATAGTGTATCATATTCTTTGTATAGATACACAGGTATATTATTATATATAAGATCTTTAATATATGAATACTTTACCATTTATTCCTTTCCTTCTCGTTAATTTTTATTATTTTATATGTATGGCATAAATAAAAAAATTTAGTTACTTAGAAAACTATACTCCAACTAAATATAATACATTTTTCAAATCCTAGTTCATATACTTAATATGTACATAATCAACGTATACAACACATAATCGAAACACAGAGTATAACAATTAAATATGATAATTAATCTATATCTGATATGAGTATAATAATTCATAATTGTTATGATGTATAACTATATTTATATATTGTTATTTATACATAACAATATACTATTAGTTATTACATTATACTGTTGTGTATAATATAATATAATATTTATATATTTATAATGTACAACAATCTGTAATAATACAAATATAACAATTTACAACAAAACTTTGTCGTTGCCAAGTCAGTTTTATCATCAACCATACATTCATCAAATTTTCTCTAAACTTTATTTAAATCCACTCTACAAGGAAAAAGTCTCGATAACCGTGACTCGAGATTCACATCCAAACCGTTCATCCAAACGAAATTGAATCTAAGCAGAACTTTTGACAATCAAAGACCATGAATAATTTACTTCTCCATCGAAACAGTTTGCACTTTCCTTTCCTAAACGAACAATTAAATATCACGATCAAACGAAAACGCGTAGCGTAATTAAAGACGTTTAATCCGCTGAACTGCCATTTCGACGACTCACCCCAAACCCATCGAATCAACTCGTTTTTCGATACGAAACGAAATTAAAAGAAAACTGGAAGAACAAAGCGTCGCATCGCCGCCATTTCATTTCATCGTTCAAATTTATATTCATGGAAACGCAAGTTCTGCGCGATATCGAATGGCATCTGGCATGACCAAAGCATAGGGAAACATCGTTTGTGGGCTAACTTTTGGGAGCCGTTATCGTATACGTGGGGAGACAAGAGAAGAGGGTTGGTCTTACAGCTTCTTCATAGAGTTTCGACCAATCGGTTGTGGATCTGGGATCATTTGACCTCTTGTATCTGGTATTCTTCTAGTTTTGCTTCTTTCCCTTTGTTCAGGCAGTCGATTCGACATGTTGTTCGGTCACGTCTCTGAGTCCACGTCGTTTCCTTTCTCGTCTTTGATACCCGGGTGCTTTCAGAGACTATGAATTTGGCTTTGATGCGTCTTTTTCGTTTTATGGTTAATGGTTGGATCGTGTAACTTGGAGATCTGTGTTAGGGGAGAATGGGAGTTGGGGGTGGACACGGGGTGTTTGAAATTATTGTTTTGGGGGCAATTGTGTTGGGAGTATTTTAGTGAGAAATTTAGGTCGGATTAATTGGGGAGTTTTGCTGCGTTAGGTTGTATTGGGAATTTGTTTTTGATGTTGATTGTGGAATTAGCAAATTAGTTGGAATACGTACTAGGAATTTATTGTATGATATTCTTGGTATTAATAGTAGGATTTGGAAATTAGTAGAAATTTGTATTTGGAATTTGCTTTTGGTATTAATACTGGAATTAGCAAATTAACTAACATTTAATTTTTGTATTAAAGGGTATATGTAAATTGACATATTAATTGACTGAATGATTTAATGAACACAGTGGTATAAAATTGTAGACAGAATGATTATAAAGTACAAGCAAAGAGTGAAGCTGAATAAACGAAACTGACCTTACGAATTGCGATAATTTGTAATAAAATTTGAAGTTCATTTTACGGAAACTACTTTTGTAAAATACTTTTGTAAAATACCTTCGTTAATCTGCAAGAGATTTGATTATGATAATTACAGAGCAATGGAACCTCTATTATCCAAAGGCATAATAGCTGAACAGTATTATTTGAATATTCCATTATCTAAACCTTCTATTATCCATACAGTATGTCCGTCAGGTTATGAAATGAGCATTATTCCTATGAATATCTTGCATGTAGCAGCACCAAAAAGCAGCATGATATTGGTTGTCGAAATGAAATGAAAAATATTTTTAGAATTAAGGGAAGATATATGGATGAATAATTTAGAATTAATAGAAAATAATAAAACATTCAACAAATAATAGAATATTTAAAATACCTAAATTAAATTTCAAATACCTTTTCTTAACCTCTCGAGGGACGAATTCATCATGTCTAAAAAGAAACAATTATTTTCCACTCTTATAAACAGAAATGTATATATTTGCAATATCTACGTGAGACTGTGGGTGTGTCTGATTTTAAAATGTTCACAATGTACATATCTATTTGGTAACTATTTTTAATTTGAAGTAATCATTGTAAGATTTTTAATTTATGTTTCCATATTGACGAGTTAATGTTATTTAATTTATTATGTTAGTTTTAATGTAGTAATTAATTGTATTTAATGTATTTTAAATTTTGCTCGAACTGTAGAAAAACAAATGATACGCGAACGTGTCACTCTCACTCAAGAGATTAAATTTTTTGTTTATATAAAAAACAGCGATGTTTTAGTGAAATACGTCGGAATATATAAAAGAAAAATATTCTAGAAAATGTATTTCCCGCTTCTCGAAGTAAAGTTATCTGTGCGAAATTCTAGAATTTCGTGGTTCGTAGAAAAGAGAGAAGGAGGTCATGGTGAAGAAAGAAGTGTAAAATTGATTGACT